AGAGGACTGCATCGGCCGACTGTGAGTCTTCTTTTCTAGACTTTAATGTAACAAATTATATTCATATAATTAATTAACAGCCTTAATAAATTCAAGCACTGAATTTAAAAAGTAGCATATTTTCTGCACTATAAAGCCTGCTGTCAATAAATGGTCTGTTTTCTATTGTTTTTCTTATCTAACATATGCCAGACTAGAAGGAGCAGGTCCTATCCAACTATATTATATAGCACTTTAGAAAAACTAAGTGTTTAGAGCCTGTTTCTTCACAGCTGCCATTTCTACACACACTGAATTATAATAGTGAAGCTCAGTGTTACTCCGCCTCTCTGGTGACTATAGCAGCCGTAATGATTGGTTTACAAAAGTCCTGCTAAAACATTTTAAAAGACCACTAACATTAGCTTCGATACGGAAGGGATTAGGGCCAATGGAAAAATAAATTGAACTGTTTATTTAATATGGAGAAAAAAGTTAGAATTTACTTCCAGAATTCTGATTTTTCTTCCCCCAAATTAAACTGAAATAAAAAAATAAAAAAATCTGTTAACTTTTTTTTTTTTTTTTTTGCAGTGGCCCTAATCCTCTTCCGTACTTCCAGGTCAGTAAGCACAACCAGAATCAACCGCTCTGGATTATGCGGCGCACTGTTATCTCAAAATGTTTTTTTATTGCACTTTATAGTCCAGAAAATACGGTAACAAAAATGTCTGAAGTCACTGATCCATGAGAGACTGAAAAAAAAGAAGATAAGTTGATTAGATAAATTTCAGACACACGAGACGCTGGTAGTAAAAGAATAATAAAACCTTTATTGTTCCATAATAAAGCCTACAAGCAGGGGGCGCCGTATAAAAATAAGCTGTGAAATAAATCATCTTTGTGTTCTGCCGTATTTTCAGCTGTAAACAGTGACACAAAGCATGAATATATGAACCAAACATGACATGTTTTTCATTACAGACATACATAAGTGAAGAATAAGTTATCAGAGCCTGAATAAAAATAATCTGTCCTTTAATAAAGTTAGAGTGAAAACTAACAGGAGTATTTTTTAATAACCAATCTGGATGAACTGTGTCTGTAAAGTAACTGAGATGACATGATGTGAATTGGAGCTATAGAAATAAACTGAACTGCAGTGACTATATTTTCTAAATAAATATAAAACCCATGTTCTTGTCATGTGAGCATAGATACAGGAGTTTTTTGTTTTAATTTAACGTTTTAGGTCAATAGTTTATATTTATCTTTTTCATGTTATGATCATTTTTCTTTCTGAAGATTTCACAACAAAAATGACATTGAACATGTAAACTCTTCAGTGCATCTTTATAGTGGTTTTAAAGCTTGAATACATTATTTTTTAATCTTTCATAGGACCCCAAACACCTGGTGCAACCCCTGCCTATAGTTCACTACTACGGCGTTATGATGTAATCCTGATGTGATGCATCCAACGGCGAGGAGTTGCTGAAAGCAGCAGTAAACTGCAACACGTCGCCTACAACCAGGAGGCTGCAGGACCTAAACTCAGCCCCGCATCAAGGCGGGACGTCATCAGAGAGAGGACCAATCAGAGGGACTTCCTGTCAAAATGGACTCCTTCCAATGTGACAACGATAAATTACTAAGACATCAAACATGAGCTTGCTGCCTCTGAAGCAAACATTAACAGCTTTTGGTCCTGATCACCATGTGACATCACTCTGACATCACACTGACATCACTCTGACATCACTGATCTCTCAATGTTTGATCATCCGTCCTCTCTGTGTCCGTCAGTTTCTCTGTTATTGGCTGTCAATCATCAGTGGAGTCAGATCAATGGAGGAACTTCTGTCTCTGACGCCTCCTCCTGCAGAGAAGGTAGAGAACAATCAGAACAATCAGAACCATCAGAACATCAGAACCATCAGAACATCAGAACCATCAGAAGCATTAGAACCATCAGAACAATCAGAACAATCAGAACCATCAGAACCATCAAAACCATCAGAACATCAGAACAGTCAGAACAGAGAAACAAA